CAAGCAGCTGGGGTTACAGGTGCCCACCACCATGCCCAGCTGGTTTTTTGTATTTTTAATAGAGACAGGTTTTACCATGTTGGCCAGGCTGGTCTCGAACTGCTGACCTCAGGTGATCCACCTGCCTCAGCCTCCCAAAGTGCTGGGATTATAGGTGTGAGCCACCATGCCCGGCCCTAATATATATATATCTATGTATATATATAGATATATATATATATATTTTTAATGACAGAGTCTGGTTCTGTTGCCCAGGCTGGAGTGCAAGGGTGCAATCTCGGTTCACTGCAACCTCCGCCTCCCGTTTTCTCTCGTTTCTCCTGCCTCAGCCTCCTGAGTAGCTGAAACTACAGGTGCCTGCCACCATGCCTGGCTAATTTTTGTATTTTTAGTAGAAACGGGGTTTCACCATGCTGGTCAGTCAGGTCTCCAACTCTTTTTATTTATTTATTTATTTATTTATTTATTTTTAGGTCTCCAACTCTTGACCTTGTGATCCACCCACCTTGGCCTTCCAAAGTGCTGGGATTACAGGTGTGAGTCACTGTGCCCGGCCCTAAAGGTGATTTTTAAAAGACCTGACTCACATAAAATGTGGGTGCATCTTGAAAACATGATTCTTGTGAAAGAAGTCAGATGCAAAAAGACACATGGTGTATGATGCCACTTACGTGAAATGCCCAGGAGAGGCAAATCCACAGGGGCAGGAAGCAGGGCCTGTAACCCCTGCGCTTTGGGAGGCTGAGGTGGGAGGATCGCTTGAGCTCAGGAGTTTGAGGCTGCAGTCAGCCGGGCCTGCACTTTGCCCTCCAGCCTTGGAAACAGTGAGACCCGGTCTAAAAAAACAATAATAAAAATTAAAATTAAGGGTTGTCAGGGCCTGGGGGGCGGAGCTGAGGGTGTGGCCGGGAATGGCCGTGCAATCTCCTCTGGGTGATGAAACGTTCAGAGCTGGTGAGGGGAGATGCTTGCACAGCGCCGTGCAGGGCCACTGAATCGTGCACTTCGGAGCGGCTGATTTTATGCCATGTGAATCTCACCTCAATAGAAAAGGATGAGAGGCCGGGCGCGGTGGCTCATGCCTGTAATCCCAGCACTTTGGGAGGCCGAGGCGGGCGGACCACAAGGTCAGGAGTTCTGGACCAGAGTGGGCAACATGGTAAAACCCTGTCTCTCCAAAAATACAAAAAAAAATAAAAATAAAAAAAGAAAGAAAGAAAAGAAAAGGACGAGGGGAGGGTAAGAAGGGAAAGGGAAGAGCACAGGGTGGCTGGGAAGGTTTTGCTAAAGCCTCTTCTTCTGAGCACCACTGCCTGCAGTGTGGGAGTCCCGGCAGCCTCCCCGCCAGGCCCAGGTGCTGCATAGGGTGGAGGGGGTGGGGGTGCTGGGAGCTTGGCCAGTGTGGCCTGAAGACAGTGGGGGCCAGCCACTGCAGCCACTGTGGGCCAGGGACCTAACCTTGATCCAGCCTCTCCCCAGCCCAGAGAGCTCCTGGACCGCAGCGCCCGAGTGAGGCCCGGGCTGGCCAGGAGCCTGCAGCCGGCCGGACTGGTTCCTGCAGAGGCCCTGGCGCCTGAGGCCTTTGCAGCTTGCCCGTGACTCAGCCTGGCACAAGCAGTAGCCACCCCATGATGGGACAGACAGGTCAGCAGCCTCACAGCACATCTGGAAGGCAGGCAGGGCCACCACCGGCAGGAGAACCCCTGCAGGCTGGGTCAGGGCCGGGGAGGCCCCTGCTTCCCACGCCTCTGCGTTCCAGCACGGAATCCTCCAACCCCCGCCATGCCCTGGCTGCCCGGAGCGGGCGGCAAACCCGCCCTCCAGAACCCGCCCATCTCAGCAGACGGTGCAGCTCTGCCCAAGGCCCAGTGTGCCTACCGCAGGTGAGTCTCCTGAGCTCACGCCCTCCCTCCTCCCCACACCCAGCCAGATGCCATCTCCTTCCCCTCCCGCCCCCAGTCCTGCCCCCATCTCTGTTGGCATGACCGCTGCATCCCAGCCCCTCATCTCTGACCAGCACCAACCCCGTCCCCCGACGGGGCCGCCCCTTCTTTTCTCTCCATCCTCTGGCCTGACAGCCGCCCCAGGGCCTTCGCACTGACACTCTTTGCAGCTGGAGGACATGCCTCTCACAGCTTTCCCTGAGGCCCTGAGTCAAGTGCTGACGGCAGGGGTCCACGGACCAAGGTCGGCCACCAGGGACCTGTGAACCTGGCTGGGGAGTCACCTCTTCCTTTTTGCTAACCTCCAGCAGAAATGTAGCACTTCGTTCACCAATCCTCCCCAGACATCATCTAAAAACTGGCACCTAGGCCAGCTGTGGTGGCTCACGCCTATAATCCCAGCACTTTGGGAGGCCAAGGTGGGCGGATCACAAGGTCAGGAGTTCCAGCCAGCCTGAGCAATGTGGAGAAACCTCGTCTCTACTAAAAACACAAAACCAGCCAGGCGTGGTGGTACACGCCTGTAATCCCAGCGACTCAGGAGGCTGAGGCAGGAGAGTCGCCTAAACCCAGGACGCAGAACCTGTGGTGAGCTGAGATCACGCCACTGCACTCCAAGCCTGGGCAACAAGAGTGAAACTCTGTCTCAAAAAAACAAAAAGGGGGCCGGGCGTGGTGGCTTGTGCTTGTAATCCAAGCGCTTTGGAGGCCAAGGCAGGTGGATCACCTGAGGTTGGGAGTTCAAGACCAACATGGTGAAACCTTAAAAAAAAAAAAAAATACAAGCCAGGCGCGGTGGCTCAAGCCTGTAATCCCAGCACTTTGGGAGGCC